TGCCGTGGCTGAGGTGCTGGAGAAGCCAAGGAGGAAGCCAAGGAGGGGAGGTGGCTCCAGCTGAACATGTGGGGGTCCCCAGCACAAACCTACACACCTCTCCCTGGAGAAAACCTGAATTTCTCATGGCCCAAGAGTCACCTTGGAACCACCCTGCAGCGATCGTCTTGCCTCCACCTCCTGCCCAGAGGAGAATTTAATTGAATTTTCAATTCCTTGAAATCAAGTAATTAGGGCCAGTCACAAAGGCAAGGAGAAGTTTTATCAACTTTATCGTGACAGTGCGGTGTCAAGCTATCGATCTGGGCTTGTCCTGAACAAAGACAAGTTTTGTGTCGTCCTGCGTGGGCGGAACCAAGCTCTCCCTGCTGCTTTGCTGCAGCTTAGGTGTAGGACTGGCGCAACTCTGGCCCCTTAGCCTCGTTCAATGTTACTTGTGAAGCTGTTGACCGAGAAGCCGTCAGTGCCATTTTGCAGGGAATAACCCATTTCTGCATCCTCAGCTCTTCTGATTTTCTCTTTCAAACAGCTGAGTACTGTCGTTAAGGGAAGATGGAGGTCCCCGTGGCTGGTATTTGGGGATGCCAGCGGCTCTGGGCTTGCAGGCAGCCCGTGGGAGGTGGGCAGTGGTGCCTGGTGGTCTCTGCCTGGGAGAGGGGAGCAGGCAGGACCCAGCACACGCCCGGGCAGGATGCTCTGCCCAGGGAGATCGGCCCCGGATCCCACCCTGTGCTCAAAGCCAAGCCACTTTGAGCAAAGCCTGTCCTTAGAAGAAGGTAAACACAAGGAACCAACCGCATTAAGCGCAAATTCATCTGTTGATGCTGGTGTCCAGGGGCAGAGCGGCCGTTTACTGTGGCGTGCGATGTGGGGATCAGTGGCTCTGCGCTCATTAACGCTCTGGGCCGCTAGCGATGCCCAGAAGTGGCTGGAAACAAAGACAACTAAAGTCTGATGGATTAATGCTGCCTCCCACCAATGCAACCCGCGATCCATCAATTACCTATCTGCTTAGGCCTTTTCTCCATCCTTTTACAATCTAAATAGCACATTTTATAGTTGCTGCTAAGTGATGTGATCAACATCAATTACCTACTAAAAGAGAATCAAGTCTTGATTTAAAATTAAGTGCTGCATTTTGCCATGTTCTTTATATGTAGCCAACAGAATAATTGCAGTGACATAAAAACTAATTACACAACTCCACAATTAGGCCTCCCTCCTAGTGCTGTGATTGTCTTTTAAGTATATTGATGAAAAATTACTCCCAGCCCTAAATTACTCTCTCACACCCATCTTCTCCAATACCTTTGGAAAAAACCCCCCGCCCCATCAGATCAAACAGAAGAACTCGAAATGCAAAAGATAATACATGCAGAGTGTGTTTTCTAATCTCTTTGATGTGCGAGCGGTTTCAGACGGCGGGATTAGGCTGGTATCGCCCGAGGATGCAGCAGCGCTCCTCTCTGCGACGATGGACCAAGCATCTCAGTGAGACTTCCCAAACCACCTGGGGCTGCCGCGGGGCCGGCGAGCCCACACGTCGCCATTAGGCTGTGGCTGGGGAGAAGCTCCTCTTCCCTGTGCCCCAGATGATATTTGGCTCTTGGGCTGCAAGCAGAGGAGAAGCCGGTGCTGCCCAGCTGCTGGCCTTGGGTTTGGTGCGTGGAGGGGTTTTATTGCTGCTCCTGCTGTGCCTGAAAGAGAGGGCTTCAGAGAGATGGAGACGGCGGGATTAGGCTGGTATCGCCCGAGGATGCAGCAGCGCTCCTCTCTGCGACGATGGACCAAGCATCTCAGTGAGACTTCCCAAACCACCTGGGGCTGCCGCGGGGCCGGCGAGCCCACACCTCGCCACGTCGCCATTAGGCTGTGGCTGGGGAGAAGCTCCTCTTCCCTGTGCCCCAGATGATATTTGGCTCTTGGGCTGCAAGCAGAGGAGAAGCCGGTGCTGCCCAGCTGCTGGCCTTGGGTTTGGTGCGTGGAGGGGTTTTATTGCTGCTCCTGCTGTGCCTGAAAGAGAGGGCTTCAGAGAGATGGCTGTTCATCCCGTCGGTGCTGTTCCACCTGGCAGAAGTAAGGGGAAGAGCTGGATCCAGCTCGCCTGCCCCACTGGAGAAACCACGGCAGGGTTTGGGCAGAGATGGGTGGATCAGCCCCGTCCTGAGCTGGTGGCAGTGCTGCTCCGGGAGCTGAGAGGGCCCAGAGCCACAGAGGGAGGAGAAGGAAGAGGCTGGAGGTTGGTGGTGCTTTCATGCATCCCAAGGCCGGGAGTTAAGTCTTGCCAGAAATCACATTGCTGGCTGAAAAATCAGGCTGTTAAACCCCAATAAAGCCACGGAGCAGTCCTGATGGGCTTTGTGGGTTTTGCTTCTGGATTCCAATTTTGAGGTGCTTATATCCAGCCTGGAAAGACTGGAAACATTTCATTTACTGGAAATGAAAGCTAGGACTTGCTTACAATCAGTCTCCTGCCACCAGGATCTTTGTGGGTGCCGACAGCAAAGCATGGCAGCAGCAAAGCTGGGTGCATGGGTGAACGGAGCCGTGGGGACACTGACCCAAGGGGACAGTGTGGGCACGCAGGTTCCCGCTGGTCCCCTTATACCATGCCGTCCTGTCAGTTGCCACTTGCTGTCACCGAGCATCCTTTGCTGGATAATTAAGCATCGCAGGTTTAATTCTGGGGCTGGCGGGGCGGTTTTGGCTGCTGCCTGGTGGAGCCCACGGGCATCCTTGTGCGCCAGCTGCCCTCAGCCACAGCCCTTGGCGGGTAGGAGGGTCGCGCAGCTTGCGGCTCTGGCTTTTCTGTCATTTCTGCAGTCACCTGCCAGCAGCAGGGTGGGAAATGCTTTGGCACCCGATTTTAATCAGCATTGTGCTGCCAGCTAACGAGGCAGAAGGGACCCGTGGGCTCATGCCAGCGGCAGCTCGGCGCTCCCAGCACCTTCCAGTCTGACTTTCTCACCTCTTCTTCAGCGCGGTCCAGGGGACGTTCGGTGCCGAGGCTGTGAATTAACACCCTTGTGCGTACCTGAAACTTCACTGCCTCCCTCCAAAGGTGTGAAAAATAAAGGGGGGTGCCAAAGCGGGCAGGGGAGACGAGATGGCCGGGGCCAACCACCACCTCATGAACCTTGCAGGTGTCACCTCCTGTCCCCCAGCACCCAGCTGGTGCGGGGGCCGGGGGGGGGCGGGGTGCCCCGGCACAG